GGCCTTATCGGCGACCACCTGCCGCTACGGCGGACGTGACGAGAGCGCGTGACCCTCGCTGTGGAGGGGGAGGGTCTATCTGAGGACGGCCCATCCCATCCCCGCGCTTCGCCTCGAGATGCTCGTCGGAATCCGTGCGCGCCCCACACCGTTGGAGGAAGCGCCGCTCGGAATTGTTCCGACCAGCAGGAGGACCGGCGCCAAAGCAGAAAGGATACCGTTGCGCCACCGTGAAGTTCTCGACCGTCCTCAAAGTGGCAAAGTGGCAGCGAGATAGCTTAGTGGCAACCGTTCCCTCGAGAGTTCGATGGTTCGAATCTCGACCGCCCCGTTTTTTTTTTTTTTTTTGACACTACATTCAGTACGCGCTTCGGTGTATCAGATGATGTCACTCCAGTGAATCTGTTCTGGAGGTCCTAGGGTGCCACTTACGATGGTGCCAGGATTTTCCACGCTATCTAGGCAGCAGAATCGAATTGAGCCGCTGTCTGAAGGAGAATTCTAGCGACCGGCTGCTCAGATCAGTAGTGTTCAGTGGTTTCTCCGATCAACACCTGGCGACCGCCGGAGCGGTACTCTAACAAATCGTGTCTCTCACCCCTTTACTTACACACACGTACATGCACTACGCCTCCATACTTGCCGGGAGACCATGTGAGGTGAGGGCGGTATCCCGCTTGTGGGAGATACCTGGAGAGGGAAACCCCCGAGTTGGCGTGTAGCATGCCGTCGATCTCGCTTTCCAGCGGGGGAGGAACCCACACCCTCCCTGGATACATCATGCACTACACTTCCGGGATTAATAACCTAAGTAGTTGACTCTCATATTTACTCTCTCGCTCACTCGAAATTGACTGCATCGTGTTTGCTGCATGATTTTTGAAGGATGGATTTCGTCGGGATTTTGGGTCTGCGTTAAAGGACCATTATACGGTTAAAGTAATCTTGACAAGCATGCTCGTCGCCGGTTGTGAAACTACCGCGGTCCATTGTGCGAACTAGCCCGTGAACATTGTGCGAACTAGAACGTCTTCTAGCCCGTGTAGACCGGGTATAGGATCCTTTAGCCAGACCATCAAATGTACTGGGCTGGGATTGGAGACTTGTAATATTGTAAAATTTGAATACTTACAAGCAAAATTGTGCAATCAAATTAATTATTTCATGCGAGTCACTGTAAAACACACATTATTAGGGATAAAAAACGATTACAAATTTGAACGTGTGTGTATGTTGCACAACATACACATTATCGTGCTATAGCAATGATTGCAGAATATAAATTTAGAGTGAACAATAATTATTAACCGTATAATTGTAGGGTAAAACATATTCGTAACTGCGTGCTGATTTTGTTCTTTCACAGATTGAACAGTATGTAAAAGTAGTGAAAATATCTCAGTATAAAATATTCTGGTTGTTGTTTCTTTGATGAAATTGATTCACGTTTGAGCTCACGTATTCAATATGCGGTAATAGATGTTCAGTGGACAGGACAGGAATCATTAATGAAATACAAACACACTCTATGGCGCATCTCTATTAAGCAGAAGCAAACAATTCTATATTCTATTGATAAAGAGTCAAGACGATGCTCGTATTACATTAAATTGCATTGAATGAATCACGAAAGAGCCATGAATACACGAACTATTACGTTAAATAAATTATTTTCTTGTCCACATGAATGATTTGGTCGGGTTTAACCGAGTTGTACCGTTTCTGGTTCATATTCGTTTCGTAATTGCGTTCAGTGAAGTGAAATAGCTGTGGAGCGGCATGTAAGTGAAGTACTACTGTGCTCGAGTAAAAGCAGGAAATCGCCTTTCACATGACTTTGAATGCTTCTTCTCCCTTTCACAGCCCGTGTGATAGTGCGCGTTCAATGTCACAACTCGCTAGTGATTAGATGAACAATCTCCCCATCAGATCATGTAATGCACGATTACCACGAGCAAGAAATGTTACAAAATCACGCGCTATCTACTACACACCCGAGATCGCACTGGACATGAACGATTACGAATTAGCACACCCAGCACGTGAAGTCCCACGTGCGTAAAAAAAGTTAGTTTGAAGACGTGTTACGCCTCGACATATTTTAGTACGAATTTACGTAGAATTATTAGTAATAATTATACTTATTTACTTTAATGAGCTTATTAAATTAAATATATTCTTATTTATTAATAGTAAAACAAGTTTTTATAGTTAATATTATATAATATTAACTAATTGTTCAAGCTTTGCAGAATCCATGAAAGTTTTATTTTGCACACGCATTCACCTCCTGTATATCGAGAATACCAAGAAGTCAGTCAATTGAACTATTCTTATGAATATGAAAAATGGTGTTTATTACGAAATACGTATAATATAAATGACTTATTTTGCGGCATGGAAGTGTGATTGGGAAGGAGGGTGGGTAAAAGGAGCGTAGCGAAATTTTCGTGGTCTGACGGAATAGCGGGCCTGATGACCCGAGTCTCGCCACGTAAAATAAGGCCTCAATTCAATTATTTAGAAGTGGTGTACAAAAAGGAAATAGTTACATTTTACGAGACTTGATATGTGTATACACACAGACACTATACACTGAGTTTGTCCCTGGAATGCATATAACGAAAGTGGAAGACTTCCACCGCCGGGGCTAGCGTGCTTTCTGGAACTCGTGAATGTTAAGGAGTCGACTTCAAAAATTCCCACCGCTTCGAAAATCTGCCAAACCTGAATGCACTTTCCCCTCCCCCCCAGTTTGCTCAAACGAGAACCCCCCCTTACGAATCCCTCTCGGGGGGAAACCCTCTTCTCCCACCACCACTTCCATCGGCGGCGGGCGTTGTCGCAAAGTGTCAAAATGTTTGGCGAGGCGCCCCCGCCCCCGGGGTCGCGGGCTTTGTGCCGGTGTGGGAGCACGGGAGCATTGGGGAATACCGGGGGTCGCCTCAAGTGCCCGGCAGACGGATCAGGGAGGCCCCAGTGGCGCGGAGGGGCGGGGCAGGGTAGGGCCAGACGCGGCGGCACCTAGCGCGCGACCAGAGCTGGAAGTCTCCCGTCGTTTGAATGGCCTTCCTACACCGTGAACGGAAAATGCGACCGTGTTGTTAGAGCTCAAGTCTCGGCAATAGGAATCAATTTTTCTTGGCATCATTTTACTCTTACAATTTTTTTAAAATTTAACTATATGACAATAGTTATTATCTTATTTTCGTTTTATTTATTTTCTGTATTAATTTTATTCTATACGAAACTGTAAATAATGTAGAAACATTCTTCTCGTGTAACGGCTGTCTAAAACTACTCACTTTTGTTTACTACAATTGTTATAACTAATCTCTCAGAGAATGTGTTCCAGAAATCCAAATTGTGACCATGTTATTGAGCAACAATGCAATTTAATAATTAAATTTGTTCAATGAATTCGTTAATAATTAAATTTGTTGATAATGAAATTTGTTCAAAAAAATGGGCAACCAATCCTCTCAACAAATTTAATTGTATTTATCATAGAATTGTGATTCAAGGATTTATGAGCTTCCAATTACCTTTTGGAATTAGTATTCGAGGAAATTCCAAATACGTCTATTCAGTGCAAAAAAAAAGAATCTGTTAATTTTGTCTCGTAGCTCAACATCTGGCGTGCAGAAATCAGTAACCGTCCGATTTCATACATTCTTAGTAATAGTACAGTCTAAAGTGCCACATTTTCTCGTAGTGAATCCCCAACGCACATCGTTCGGGTTCGGTTGGCAGTTGGAGGTCGGTCTGTCCGTCCGTCCGTTTCCTGGCTTCCCGAAATAACCCTTCGTGTCCCCCACCTGCGCGTCTAATCGGCCTCGCGGAGCATCGCTTCCTCGCCGGCGACGCGACACACGACACGACGCGACACGACGCGGCTCAAATGGCCGCGATAACGCCCACGACTCCTCTTCCTCCAACGCGCGCGGCTTGCGGGCACGCGGCGGGCCACGGGCGCAACAGGCCAGCGGCGGCGGATCCGGGGACGGGGACATTCAAAATGGTTCGATCGAATGCGGCGTGTTACAGATTTTGTGAAATGTCGCAGGCGGCATTTAGTAGTCTCGTAATCCCAATGTGCGAAATGAATATGAAGAGGAAACACAAAGGCATCTGGCGCTAGAGAGTTGTAGGTAGTGCAACCAGTGTTCCTTTGGTTCCAACACATGCATAACAGTGTTACTAATAGTTATTATTTTATATTTTAACTTATACTGTATTGTGATCATTGAAAGTTTTCATTCAGAAACTAAACATCGGGAAAAAATCAATCACAAAACATCGATGTTAATGAAACATCGATGTTGATGGAACATTGATGTTAATGGAATAACGATGTTAATGGAACGTCAATGTTAATGGAAAGTCGATGTTGATGGAACGTCGATGTTGATGTTGATGAAACGTCGATGTTGATGTTGATGAAACGTCGATGTTGATGTTGATGAAACTTCGATGTTGATGTTGATGGAACGTCCATGTTGATGTTGATGGAACGTCCATGTTGATGTTGATGGAACGTCCATGTTGATGTTGATGAAACGTCCATGTTGATGTTGATGAAACGTCCATGTTGATGTTGATGAAATGTCGATGTTAATCGAACATCGATGTTTCTACAAAATCCTCGACGCGCATCCCTAGTGTGGAGGTGCCCTGTGTGCGTTCGATGGCTGCAGCGTGCATGTGCGCGTGTGCTGTTGCAGGCGCTGAGGCGCGGCCAGGTGGCGAGCGACCTGGAACGGATCCAGGATCTCTTCCCGCACGACGACCTGCGCCTGCACGACCGCGAGGCCCTCACCATGGTGAGTACCTGTAGCGCGCTGCCTGAAGGACAGCCACCAGCTGCCTGCGCGCGCAGAAGGGGAGGAGCTGTATGTTAAAGTCGAAGAGCTTAATTCGCAGAGGAGGCTTTTAAAACGTAAAGGGAATTCTTAAAGATTAACTAGAAGGTTTTTTGACAGTTTCATAAAACGGAATGATACATGTTAGAGACGTGAACTGTATTGTGGGTAACTAAACTGTATTTTGACATTAATGAAACTTTCAGCACTGTATAGTTTCCGTGAACAAAAACCAATAAATGTTTGGAATTAAATGTCCCATTGCAATTTTAATTTTGTCTTTCAAAGAATGTTAATGCCAAGATCACCAAGACAGATTCATTAACATGACGCGTGTAAGTACTGTATGGTGGCACACAATAATCTCTGTAGAGTCTCTCTGAAGAGTTCACTGTTCTGTCCACGAAACAGGTCTGATCGTCTGTGAACCGATGTTTATAATCCGGATTAACTGGGACGTGACCCTTTGTACATTATTAAGTTGTTCCGATTTATTCGAAATTATCAAAGTGTTCAGATTTTCAAAACGAAATAGAGAAAGAACTGACAAGTCTTCAGCGTGTGACTAATGGATAAAAAAGTGAAATGAATGAATAAAATCATTCAGCAAAATTTGTACTGGGATAAAAAATACTTTACGGTACAGAATTGTATTACAGACACGGTTCTTTTATATGCAGTAAATATTGCAGTAAAAAATGCCTACAATATTGACTTCACACGATTTTCTCCGCCAGAAGCAAATCCATATTATCGACGATCCGGAGTTATGACATTCGAATTATTGTTGCCGAACTGAACTCGTCGCAGCAGCCGTTCAGATTTGAGAGGTTCGTGTCCGCACAGTCCTTGTTGAGCAAGTCTGCGTCGGATGAGTTAATGGCATCGCCCTCTGGCTGAATGATGATGACAAAAACAAATGAAAGCTCTCGAGGTGTCGCGCGTATGGTGTAGCAATTTCGTGTTGTGAAGTTCCCGAATACGCATTGGCTCCGCGTTGCATTTTTTGCTCGTGGCGTGCCCAAAAAGATGAAACCGAATAGAAGAATGAAGTAATTCGCTGTAAAGCTATGAGTAAATCTCTGGGCCTTGGTTATAATCTAGCGCGTTGCTAACCTTGGGCTGCTTTTGTTTCTTTCCTTTTTTGTTGTGCGTTCTGTTGTTTTTTTTCGCACAAACTGTGGGAAACAAACAATCAACACGAAAGAGCTTGCTATGGCCTGATTTGCTGTGATTTTAGAGGGTGGGTACGGTTGAAATAGGTCGTACGATATCTGTATACGCTTTTGGCGATACCTAAATAGATTGCAAATCGAACAATGACTGTTGATAGGGTTCGGTGCTTTTGAAGATAGCAACTGATTTGTACCATTGAAATACTGTGTAAACTTTGCCTTGAATTCGTGTCAGTTGTAGGAAAACCTCAAGGAAAGTTTGTGAAATTGTGGATACACAAATAAAGACGCGTGAAGTTACTTACAGACGTAATCCGTATTATACATTTAGGTTAAAATATTATTTTATATCTCTTCTGATATAATAGTACTACACAAGGTCGACGTTGATAAGTCTGTGAAAAGTATTTCTGTACACTTGTGCAAAATAATTGTGCGCTAGCAAATTTCAAATTAAGGTTGTCTTTCTGGTTAATTTGTTTAATTTAATTGACATGAAACGTTAATTGTCAATGGAACATGCAATAGCAATAAAAGCAAGTTGATGCAAGTTATAAATATTCAATCATTTCGCACGGTGTCTGAACTTGTGGTTTTGCATTTCTGTGTCTCAACCGTAGATGATAATGTTCAGAAAGTTGTTTGACTTGATTATCTGATTATGAACTTCATGCTAGTTTGCAGTGTTCGAATTCAGAGTGATATCTACAGTGAAAGTTACAGCTTTCCATAGGATTTTGTTTTCGGGAAGGGCTATTTCTTTGAGCCAAAATAATGAAGAAAGGGCTGACATGTTTTCAGAATATTGTAGGGCCATGAAATTAAGCGTTACAGAATTTTAATTTCAGTTTTTCCAAGTTTTCGCACAACTAGTACGTTTTTTTTAATTAAATTAAAGAGTGCAATGTATTCTTTGTTAAGTAAATACGCTGACGACGTAATAGATCGAGATTTTTTCATGTTCATCAATATTATGATTCTTTGAAACGGGTTTGTTTATAAAGACATTGCACAGGAATCCTTAAAAATAAATTACTTAATTAATTGATCATCAATTAATTATATCACTTAAGAGTTTTATTTTTCTTCTCTGCGACAGAAATGAGAAACCTAATGTAATTTAGCATTAACAAAATAGCGAAACTTCGTCTCAAAACATGCAATCATTACACTGAGGAAATTCGGAATGATTTGAAAGTTTACTTACTTCGTGGCAGTCAATCTCCACCCTCCCGAACGCTATCTGTGATGCGTAGGTGTTTCTTCGATGTTATCTCGTGATAAGATTTTCTCAGAACAGTTTCGCGGAACCTTAGAAGCCCGGATATCCACTGACGAACGAACTATTGGAATTGTTGCCAAATTCCAGATTCAGGAATACACTTCCGGTAAATCAAGGTATGTTTTAGACAGTTTACTGATAACAGATTATTATAAATTATGATAAATACTGGCAGGCATTACTTTTTTAAAAACATCGAGCACAAAACATCGACGTTTAAAAACATCGAGCACAAAACATCGATGTTTAAAAACATCGAGCACAAAACATCGATGTTTAAAAACATCGAGCACAAAACATCTATGTTTAAAACATCGATGCTTCTTCAAAAACATCGATGTTTAAAACATCGATTCTTCTTCAAAAACATCGATGTTTAAAACATCGATGCTACTTCAAAAACATCGATGTTTAAAATTTCGATGTTTCTTCAAAAACATCAGTGGCTTGAAAACGTCGACATCGGCGTCGCATCTCCAGCCGCAAGCCCTAGTTTCCATTTAGCACAGGGTCCGCACAGTGTGCGGGCGCCTCCTATCAGCGGTCGCATCCCTACCGGAAACGGAATCTGCGAGTCCGTGGGAACGCGATAAGGCGCCTTATCGCTCGCGCGATAGCAGATGCACGGCGGGGCGATTGGATAAGGCGACGGCTGTTGTAGTCGAAGAAGTAGTAGAGGTAGTGTTGCTGCGGTGAGCGGGAGGCGAGGGCGGACATGGGACGCGCCGACGCGAGGGCCGTAGCGCGCCTCCGGAAGGACGTGCCCTCGGCGGTGCCGCTGGCGCTGCTGCGCGCCATGAGGGTGAGTGCCTTGGGCATTGCGGAAGGTCCGCCGTTCGAGTCCCGGCGGGGCTGGTTTTTGTACATGACGTGTCGTGGTTGAATTCGGCCCCGCTGGCGGGAGGAGTTTTGTAGCGGGAACGTGCTCTTGGTTGGGACAATGCGCCAGGAAAGTCTGTCGGCAGAGGTAGTGCTGGTGAGGGTGCTAGCAACAGAAATTATGTATGTAGTGCGAACTGCAGCTTGTAACAAAAGAAAACGTAAATAGCGTACTCGCCACAATCATAACGCATGCTGGAAGTATTGGCCCTTACACTTGTTTCCCAGTGATCGTGTTGCTAACAACATAAATGTGAGTTTTATTAGGCTGAGGCCCTGGCTCAGCTCGATGCGGTGAGACTTTCCTGGCGCGCTGTTGTTTTTTGTGGTTTATCTGATCGATACCAGGCGAACAGCGGAGTAGTGCCCTAATAAACGGGCCACGGGCAGTACGCGATCTTTCCTTCCACCCTCTGCTCTTTCTCCCCATCTTCTATCTCCCACTCACATACATGCATACACACAAGTGTACTACCATTACCACATGCTGGGAGGTACAGGGCGAGAGCGTAGAGCACAGGTGCCACGACGGGCCTTTGTCTCTAGAGGGACCCCCCTCAGAAATCCACGTGTAGGCCGGCGCGTGATCTGGCATTCCAGGAGTATCCGCCGCCCAAGATTGTGAAACAGATTTAGTATAACGATATAAATTATTGTAAATGTGCATCCTTTATTACAATTACCATCTTTCTTACAAATATTTAACATCAATGTGACTTACCAAAGAAGACATCAAAAAGGCATGTCCCCAGAGCCGCACGTTTTCTAAATGCGGGTGCAGTACCCTCTGTGTGCGGTTGAGAACGCTAGCGGGTGTGCAAGGGGGGGGGTAGAAGAGTCCTCATTATGCAAGACGTTTTCTTGGTGGTCCAAGTGCTTGCGTGTATGGAATGAAAATGCCAAGATTTTTGTGCACGTTCCATGACGTCGGAGTGGTACAAATATATTCATGCTCTGAATAAAGCCACAGAAGCATTTTAGGGGTGGGTACTATCATTGTGGCTAAAATGCCATTTTTGGCGATGTAAGTAATTAAGGTTATCTGACGTCTTTCCGTCTTCCCGTCAGGGGGTTTAGGACTTGTCTCGATTAGAGCTCCCTCTGTTTCAATGAATGGTTCTAATTCTCGGAAGTTGGGCATCTGTGTATTTCATTCGCTATCTTGGGAATCGAAACGCATTTAAAATTCATGGCAATCAAACTTCGTTTTGCTTCGACATTTCGGGGTTTTTTGATCTGATCTCGATCGAGTAGGGGCCAGTTTTCTGGACTACCCTTCTCGATTCTTACCGCAGTGTAATTCGCCCAGGCCATGTAATTCCCTGGGAACTGAAAGACCTCGGTATGAGAATGTCGTTCTCGAATCAAAACTCTTATGACTGAAAGACTCGGAATGTAAAATCTGTAAATGATAAAAATTATTTTATTTCGCACAGCTTAAATTGTTTTGCCTAATATAAAGTACAGACTGTATTAATGAGTGAAAATGTGTTTACATTTAACAGACAAATTTGACTTGACTTCGCATGTTTGAAATTTTGAAATCAAGTTTCGCATGATAACATAAGGTTTGTGTAGAGAAAATTCTTAGGTGTTACATTTATTCTCAGTTTCATCTCGTAATTCACGTAAATGAACATCCATATAGCATGACTCGAGGAACTAGTCGCAGATACATTTCCTGCTGATTTTTCTCTTAGAATAGTCACTCTTATCACTCGCAGTGTGACGTGGTGTTTCCTGTAAGGTAGAGAACAAATCATTGAGGAACTTGTTCCGCGTTTTTTTAGAATCTAAAGGCAAATATATGCGTCAGCTGCGTCGTGAATTTCGATTGTTTATCTTTCATTAAGTGATTCACATCAATATTTCTGGAACACTATCTCTTTCTTAGGAGATGATAAATATTCGAGAGTAAATTTGAGAAGCATCTGCGGCTATCAGTGATGTTTCCGCGAGTATTTTATTGTTCTGGCGAAGTGAATCTAAGGGAGTACATTTAGCATCCATGCAGAGTAATAGACATTTTCGTATACAGCATTTGCAAAGAAAACTTATTTTTCTTTGGAGGGGGGGGGGTCCTGAAATTATGCTACTGTACAAGGAAGAAAGGTCTGTATTGTGGACAATGAGAGAACGACACCCTTTTTTGGTTTCAGTGTTCAAAAAGTATTCTCCCGTGCCACTACAGTTACACTGCTAGGGTCGTTAAGTGACTGTCGTTAAGTGATTTCTAATATTTGATAAACTAGAATTTCTAAAATAGCAATTTCTAAAGGGATGGAGGTGTTATAGTTTGAAAACCAAATAGCTTTTATGTTATTTGAATATATTTTGTGTGGTATTTGATTACATCGTGAAAGACAGTCACGGACGACAGATTTCCCTTTCTGTAATATATTATCAACATTATTATCTAATACCAAAAAGAATTTATGACAGCTCAGGTACTCATCACATACACATCACACCATACACATCATCAAAATGAATGATGTGTCGGGCTTCCCTATAAAGGTACTTTCTGTTAAGAAATACTCTATAACTAAAAGAAATTGCCAATTATGTTTCAATTTAAAATTTTTAATTGAACCATTTCGAGAATTCTGAAATTTTGCATTTTAGATAATAACGTGACAAACGAAATATTTAAACATAGGTTATTCGAATTCTCGTACTCTCTCATTTGCTTAAGAACTTGTGAAGTTGGAGCCTCAAGAATTCAAAGTATGCCCTTATTTTCAATTTTGATTTATCGAATTTGCGAAATTATATTTTGTAATTTCGGTGAAGAGAGATCCAGGGCTACTAATACTCTCTCCTTCACTCACTTGCGCTCAGAAACACGTATGATATTACTCACGCAAACACTGTTGTCTGTGGACGCGTGTTTTTTAAACCTCCTCTTTCTGAATCGTTTCTGATTACCCTAAAGCGCTAATCACGAAACCTTGTTCGATAAGGCTCAGATTACGTGAAGTGGAGGGCAATGTCAGTGATAAGGAAGGCGGTGTGGCAGTTTGTGTGTGCAGTTTGAGAGCGTGTGCGGGATGCTCTGTTGTAGAAACACACCAAATGACATTATCGTAAGATAATAGCTGTGATTGGAAAATTACAAATGAAAGTTCGCAGCTTGTTGGAAAATAATGCAAACATTTACCGTTTTAATGTTTTGGAGTTGGGTTTCTATTTATAAATAAGGATTGAATGACTCCAGGAATAACGCTCTGTCCTTTTCGCTGCACCGTATTTCATAACGAGTAAGCTGCAATATTATGTTCATGAGTCACTGCGTTAAGAAAGATTTTTTTCGATATCTTTCTTTTAGATGCTAAGTACTGGATTGATAATAGACAGTCGTGTAGATTGAGTCACAGCGTGAGAGGCCTGTGTTATATATATAAGCCAAGTATTTTTTTTTAATATTTGGACTATTCTTACAATGTACGTATGCAAAATGATTTACCGCATTTCAGTGGAGGTAGTTAGAAGCTGTAGGAATAATAACCATCAGGTTTAGAATTGCTAGAGTATTGCTAACAAAACTGCTAAGCACTTCACCTATTACTTTTTACCCTTTGCTTACTCTTCTCAGTTGGTCATGATTTCTAAACGCGGGTGTCCTTTTCCCTTCAATTCTTTTCATCTTGCGTCCCTCTCTCCTTCTCGCTCTCTCTCCTCGCTCTCTTCTCCCTCTCGCTCTCTCTCTCCCTCTCGCTCTCTCTCTCCCTCTCGCTCTCTCTCTCCCTCTCGCTCTCTCTCCTTCTCGCTCTCTCTCTCCTTCTCGCTCTCTCTCTCTCTCCTTCTCGCTCTCTCTCTCTCCTTCTCGCTCTCTTTTCTTCTACTTCTCCTTCTCGCTCCCTTTTTCTTATTCTCGCTCCCTTCGCTCCCCGCTGTTGTCGCCCTCTCGCACTCGCACGCGCGTTCCCGTGGTTGCCGGCGCGCAGTCGGCCGCTGCGCCTGGGGCGCGGGAGGCCGCGGCCGGAATGCGCAGTCAAGTGGTGTGATTGGGGCTGCGTTTGCTCTGGCCTCTCTGCGCCGCGCCGCCTCCTCGCTAGCGCTCTCCGCAGCCAATGAGGCGAACACTCAGATCTTGAAAGATCGATATACAAAACTAATCTCAAGTAAAATAGACGTTTAAAACATCCTGAGCGCTGAGACTCTCCACGCTGAGCTTTGTCAATGTTATCATTTTAACTTTTAGTCAGTTAAATCTTAAATATAAATTTATGAACATGCAAATGTCGAATTAAATTCAGTCAGTTAAATCTTAAATGTTTTTGAGCGATGTATTATTAATGTGTTTTGGAAATGTCAGTGTTTTTAAAACTGAATAACATCTGTCATTAGGGTTCACGCGGGGTGAATTTAATTCGACATTTGCGTGTTCATAAATTTATATTTAAGATTCAACTGACTAAAAGTTAAAATCATAACACTGACAAATCTCAGCGTGGAGAGCCTCAGCGCTCAGGATCATCTCAAGGGGTTCAGTTTCCCCAGTTCTCCGTAGAATGGTTCGTAAAATAGTGGGGAGACTCTTCGTTTACCGAAAATGCGTTGATGTCCGCACCACGAGCGAAATACTGCGCTCGTGTTCCTCGAGGAAAGATGAAGGAAATAGCAGGGGATCGGAGTTGTTCCTCGGGCGCGAAAAAGGTATGCTTCATGAAGGTAGTACAGCAGTCGCGTCGTTCAAAAACATGATCTGGCATCTGTTATTTCATATTTTAACTTTTACCTGTTTTTGTGATTTTGGCACTTTCTCGTTCACAAACTAAACATCGAGAACAAAATATCGATGTAAAAAAAAATTATGATGTAAAAATAAATGTATTGTTTGATGTTATAAAGAACATCGATGTTTTGAAAACATGTCCATCCATGTTGCATCGCTGCGCCCAAACGCTGTAAGTGCGCTAAGGGGTCGTCCATAAATTCCGTGATGCTAAAGAGGGGGCGGTTGAGGCAACGTTACGCTGCGTTACATAGGGGTAAGGGGGGGGGGTTCCTTTAGTGTTATGTTACATTGACATTATTTAAATTTTTTAACATTTTTTGAAATACCTCCTTTTTTGGACACACTAAAACATGAAAATATTATCTAATTTATTTATTTTAAAACAAAATTATTTTAAGTTATTAGAAGTTGTTACTGAATGAATGAAATTAATTTTTTTTACTGAACTATTATTTATTTTAACTTTTTGCATTTACATGAAGGGCGGGAGGTTGTCGCAACCCTCACGTAATTATTAGGGGGGGGGGGGGTCAATCGCGCATTACGGGTGCGGTGCAGGGGGTAGAGGGGGTATTCAAAATACTCCAAATTGGCGTTACTTAATTTATGGATGGCCCTTAAGCGAAAGACTCCTCCGAGGCGACGAATTGCTGAAAGATTGCGGCTCCAACAGACAGATGTTCGCGAATACGAGTGTAAATGACCGTCGTTCGGGGATGCTACTGGGACAGTGTATTGGTTTGCTCAGAAGATACAATTAAATATAATAAAGATAAAATATAAGGCAGCTTGATATCAAGTTCGCTCGCCACACGTTTGTGCAGGAAGATGAATGGTAAATAAATGGTTTGGTGGCAATTAAATAGTAAGAAAATGTTTAACATGCTCGTACTTGTTTTATTTGATTTTTTTGGTTGGCGAGCCAGCTTGGTAGACCTGCTTCCAAGGCCGCAGTGTTTGTCTTTGTATGTTTCCTTCTATATAAAGTGTAGTGTTTGCTCCCGTATATTTTCATTCTATCACACTCCACCTATTCCAATGTCACAGTTCCTGCACTCCAGAGACGTTTCGATAATTGACATATTTTTTTAGTATTTTGTCAGGATTACTAGTATCAGTAATTAATAATAGATTTTTTACACAGGTTGAAGCACTTTGTTGTATACCACTTTTGAGCCTCTGTGCATGCGCTGTGCTAAAAGTCTCTGATAATAAATTGATAATGTCGCAATGTTAATATCAAATCTACAATATCGCCTTTGAAAAAAAAAACTGCTCTACCACAAATTCGTTGTTCCCGAGCTTCATACCATGTTTGTACATAGTATTAATTATGGCACTCAAAGTAGCTACATGTTCTATAGAAAAAATGTGATATTGGATGTATTGATAATTGCTTTAAGGTATGTACCTATCGATTCTTCGTCCTGTTGGTATCGATTCAAGTATCGCAACATTTTCTTGCTTCTAGTGGGCATAGCTGTGTTCAACGTGGTACGATCGAGCCTCCTATATCACGTAGTTTTCTTAACGTCTGCTGGGCCGGGACAAGCCCAGTGTCATAGTGTGCGCGACTACAACTTTTGAACTTTCAGTGTCTCAACCAAACTCCATCACAGTCAAACCAAGATCAGTTTCAAATCGAGTACAAAAAACATTATATTGAGACAAAATGGGTTCAAATGCACTTATACGCGGATACATACGAAATTATGAAAGGCGAAACTTTTGTAGAGCATAACTTTTTATTTTCGTCTCCATTTCCGTCATCTCCAGCTCTTTCTCCGGTTCCTCCTGGTTCTTCTTCATCTTCAACTCTTCCTCCTTCCGCTTCACCTCCTTTTACTCCTTCTGCATTTTCTCCTCCTCCTCCAGCTCATGTGTCTTCTCTAACTCCTTCCCTTCTTCCTCATCCTCCTTCTGTAGTTCCTCATCCTCCTCTTCGTCCTCCTCATCTTCCTCCTCATCTTCCTCCTCCTCCTCCTCCTCCTCTTCTTCTTCTTCTTCTTCTTCCTCCTCCTCTTCTTCCTCCTCCTCTTCCTCCTCCTCCTCTTCTTCCTCCTCCTCCTCTCTTCTTGCCTCTCTCTTCTCTTCCACTCCTCCTCTTCTCTTCCTCCTCTTCTTCTCCTCTCTCTTTCCCTCTCCTTTCTCCTCTCCTCTCTTCTCGGCTCCTCTTCCTTCCTCCTCTCTTCTTCATCCTCTCTTCTTCCCCTCCTCCTCTTTCTTCTCTCCCTCCCTTTCTTCTCTCTCCTCGTTCTCCTCCTCCCCCCTCCTCCTCCCTCCTCTCCTCTGGCTCCCTCGTCTCTCATCCATCTCTTCTCCTCTTTCTTCTTCTCTCCTCGATTTGCATTGAAATTGTCTCCTGTGCATCAAATCTCAATGTGACTCGTGTTCCGACCTCTCTGACTGTCCAGAGGCTCGACAAAGTTAGAGTCGATCCCACCGTGTTGCTGATGGTCCTCGTCTGCGGCGCGGTGTGTTTCCTCAAGAGAGATGAAGGGGCTGATCCGCAACGCGCTCGACGACGGCTTGCGCGCCTCGCCAGCCGGGCGCTGTCGCCACGGCGCTGGGCCGGGGCCGACGAGGGCGCGGGGGCGGCGCCCTGGGCGGGGGCGCGCCCGCCGCCGCCCCGCCCGCTCGCCCGCAACGCACCTTCCTGCTGGAGGCGCCCGTACGCTTCACGACGGTGAGTACTAGTACTGCTTTGACGATGCGCGAGGCTTCAGGTGTTTGGATGGTCACTGTGTTCGAGGTTGTATATTTGAGAATGTCTAAGAGTTTGTATATTTGAATATTTGTCATGATCAAGGTGTGTGAATATACCAAGTTCGAGTTCGAGGTCGTATGTGTGAGTATGTCATGTTCGAGGTCGTATATTTGAGTATGTCATGTTCGAGGTCGTATGTTTGAGTATGTCATGTTCGAGGTCGTATGTTTGAGTATGTCATGTTCGAGGTTGTATGTGTGAGTGTGCCGTGTTCTAGTTCGTAATTCTCTGATTGCCATAATAGTGTGGTTGAGCATAAGGCCCTGTGTTTATGGTCAAATTATACTATTTTTTGTGTACATTAAGTAATAGAATACATAAATACGACACCTTCACGCATACAAGTGACCTCTAAAATATGTACAATGTGTTTCACTTAACATATGGCTGGTCAGTGCGTTTCACGGGTCGCAATTCGTAAATTGTGGACCAATACTTCCATAACTCCCATACGGTCGCTCGCGATTTCATGCGGGCCATCAATTTTGCCCAAAATCCAACCAATGCGGAAGAAATCATCCCGGAAAGCGTGATTAGAGAAACTACTCCACTTCCCCCTAACTGCTTTCTCCATCGCATCTGAACACGGAGACTTAATGGCATTTATGGTTTTCGTGGAAGGAACTTCTTTTTTTTTACCGAGTGTAAACACAGTGGGACCTTGCGTGCGATTTGAAGCCCCCCCCCCCCGACACCTGTTTCTACTCTCGTCGGAAGGCGCGGCGGCCGCCACCATTTTGTCGGCGTGTAAGCGTCCGAAATGGCGGAAGCGCGCGCGACACCGATCGCCACTCCGCGCATACACCGGCTTCCCTTTCACATCCGGTCGCCTCCGCGCGGCCTTTCCCTGAGTGCGCGCTGCGTGACGCGGCGCGACTGGACGCGCGGGCAGTGGGCGCGAGCCGCGAGCCGCGCGGGACGAACTGGAAATTAAAAGCGTGAGCTTGCACGGTCGGAGACTTTTTTTAAAAATTTGCTGCGTCTTCAATTGACGCAACGTCTCTCCAAACCCATAGGAGGGCTTTGAACTCCTGCTAGGAGTAATCCTCCGTTAACATGTTCATCATTATTTGGAGTAATCCTCCGTTAACATGTTCATTATTTGGAGTAATCCTCCGTTAACATGTTCATTATTTAGAGTAATCCTCCGTTTACATGTTCATTATTATTTGGAGTAATCCTGCGTTAACATGTTCATTATTTGGAATAATCCTCCGTTAACATGTTCATCATTATTTGGAGTAATCCTCCGTTAACATGTTCGTCATTATTTGGAGTAATCCTCCGTTAACATGTTCATTATTTGGAGTAATCCTCCGTTAACGTGTTCATCATTATTTGGAGTAATCCTCCGTTAACATGTTCATTATTATTTGGAGTAATCCTCCGTTAACATGTTCATTATTTGGAGTAATCCTGCGTTAACATGTTCATTATTTGGAGTAATCCTCCGTTAACATGTTCATCATTATTTGGAGTAATCCTCCGTTAACATGTTCGTCATTATTTGGAATAATCCTCCGTTAGCATGTTCATCATTATTTGGAGTAATCCTCCGTTAATATTTTCATTATTATTTGGAGTAATCCTCTGTCAGCTGTCGAGAGGACCGCCATGTAGCATATTAGCGCCCGCCCTACGTTCCTACTACTACGCACCCCTGCGTCACTACTCAGCAGCCAGAATTGGGAAAGAATTAGGATTTGGGAAACTTCACGGGGGTCGGAGTGAAACATGCAAACTCGTTTTGTCGTAACAAATTTCACGCGAGGTTTTACGGGAATCGAATTCGGAACCTCAGTGGTGAAAGGCAAGCGACTTCTCCACTCGGCCACGAGAGCAATACGGAGTCTGTGTGTTCTTGGCTGTCCGGGAGACGTCGCGTCCTAGGCACAGGTGCGGCATACGTTCCTAAAGACGTCTCCACACATTCGGCATTCGCCGAGCAGCGAGCTACTGCTCGCCCAATCCCGAACAGCTGATGTGTTCGCTCCCTGGGACGTGTTCTAGAGACCGACACGCGGTGTGGAGGATGATGTGTTTCAGATACTCCGCCCTGATTTGGGAACGTCAGATATATTGTTAACTTTTAGTATTATTAATTTTGTGAGCTCTATGAATTTTTATAACTAAGTTAAATTGGTTTTTAGTTAGTTAGTTAGTTATTTGTACAGATAAATATATTTTCATTGAATAATTGAGGTCCTTATCCTACCTGGAACCCTAAGCTCATATTTGGTATAATTACGTATCAACTGGGGAAGACGAGCTGCTGTGGTATATGCTGCAGGCCCCGAATCGAGGGGGACGCTAAACTAAACTTTTTTCCCCTTTAAATATTTACGTGTAATGCAAATTCGAAGAAGTATAAGATCTAAATTGATAATGTGCGGGAAATGTTGCGTGACCATGGGTTTTATGGGTGTGAAGGGAAGGATGGATAGGGTAGTAAACTATGTATTTTGTAATTTTGTTTAGACTTTTTTTACCTTCGAAGTAAAGCTTTTACCTCTTCCTCAAGTGTTCTCGCCTCGGATGAAGGTAAACCTGTTGTATCGTTACGTTCCTGCGCGTTGATGGACCCCTGCTCCCAGGGGGTATGGCGTTGCGAGCGGAGTGTCGGTGTGTGTGGGGGGGGGGGCGGCCCACTGTGCGCGGCTGGGCGCGGCGAAGGACGTGTCCGCGCCCTTACGTAAGTGGCGAGGTCGTTCGCCCGACGGGAGGACTGGCGTCGCAATACTGCACATCGCGTAGGCCGGCGGAGGCCCGCGGTATTTCTGGCCCCGGCCCCTGCCCCGTTCGCCGCTTGCTGAAATGGCCCGGGCTGCAAACGGGGTCTTTCTGGACTATATTCAAGGTGGACACTTTTTGGGAAAATGGGAAACCGGGGACAATGAGGAAATTGCGTTGTTCTGGATTAGTCAGGGAAATATCACTTTATGACACTCTAAATAATTAAAATCGGTTCAAGGAATTGGTCAATGTGGTCAGAGAAGCAATTAGTTACGCCAACGTTTCGATATGTATAATTTCTTCCTCGGGGCTTACTAATAACATCAATGAATTGAATTGAATTGAATTTACCTTATTTTACGTGGCGACATTCGGGCCATCAGGCCCGCTCTTCCGTCTGACCACGCAAATTTTGCTACGCTCCTTTCATCAACTAGCAGAGAAAGGAGGTATTTCTTGGGCGACGAATAAGGCGATTTTGAATTTAGCTCAGAGGCGTCATTTAGGCTTGAGGATCTTTTATATGCAAGTAAATCTACTAACATGGGACTTTACCGGCTTTACTTCCCCTCCGAAGGAAGGCGTACGAAGGATGTTTTCGCCCTTAAAAAAACACGGCTTCGATCGGGTTTGAACCTGCCAACTTGGGTATACCAGTCCAATACGCTAAATGTGGTTAGAGAAACAATTAGTTACGCCAACGTTTCCATATATATAATTTCTTCCTCAGGGCTTACTAATAATCATATCAATGAATTCATTTACGTTTGTCTCGTGATGGACCCACGTGCTCCAGCAACTCCATGTGGAGGTGGGTGTGGAGGCTGGAAATGAGACAAAACGTGAATGATTGTTTCTCTAACCACATTGACTAATCCCGTGAACCGATTTTAATCTTTGATCCTTCAATGGTCGTGATTATGCAATGGCCAATTTGGCACCCGAGGAAATAACTTTTTATTTTTTTCGAGCACCAGACACATCGAGTTTGCACTGCTGAATTTCGATAAAATGTTGAAAAATCGTATGTTGATGATTGAACCCAGAAATCAAAATTTGATTAATAATAAATGTAAATTTAATTGGGGAAAAAATGAATGAAATGGAATGATGGTGTTAGTCCACATTATAGAATTAAAAATTAAGATATGTTTGAATCATTCAAATTCAAAACATTAATCGAGAAAAACGATTTCTGTTATTTTCTTTGCCCAGATTTGGTTTTATTTCCATTATTACAAAAGACAAATCCGTATTAATGTTGAATAATAATATTAAAGTAAATGAGAAGAAACCTGTACGCCTCATAAGGAAGAAATATATTCCAAAACAATTATATGTAATTTATATTTAGAAATTTTTGGTGTGTCTACGTACTAATCAGCTTCTTGTATTTTTTTAAATTTAGTATGTAGTTTCTGTAATATATAATAATATAATTCGACCCTTCACTAATGTGTATGTATATATATATATATATATATATATATATATATATAGATAGATAGATAGATAGATAGATAGATAGATAGATAGATATGTTACGGTACCAGACTTTCTTGCAATGCTTTAGGATAGTGGATTGAAATACGGCATGCAGGGAAATGTGCAACGCCGTGCAATGTACTGTTTGAGCTGCGCCAACCCAAGACGAACTCGAGTTCACGGTCGTCCGTTGAAGGCGTCTGTCTGCTCGTGGACATCCGCGCGATATGGAACTTATCTCAGCGTTTATCTGCGTGTGTACAGACGGCGGTAATGCCTTGGTCCTTGCTCCTAGAAGAATGGACCAGCAGTGGGAGTGGATAGTACATACGTCATATACAGTTTTTACTTTTGTTTGTTTTTTACTAAATAAATCTAAATCTACTAGAAGCGGCAGTGGAATGGTAGAATGACAACCGTTTTAAGTAGCAAAATATTATTAAAAAAATGATTTAGCAGTTGCAACATGCGTTTGTTGATGAATAATATCGAGATGAGGCAACAGTGGATTTATTTCATGCGAGTAAAAAATTGAAACGTGTATAATTGTTGCATCTATATTTCAGACTACAATAGTGTGCTCAAAATATCAAACTTTTTTTTAATCCGGCAAATATGTGTAGTAAATTGTACAATTTCTAGTCTGCACAATCCCTGCAGAAAATTAACCCTTTACGATTCAGTAGAATGTGACTTCAACAATGCCATTAATGTAACTTTCTAGGACGAGACCATGGTTCATTGCAATTGTTAATTGTGTTTTCATGACGAATCGATGATGCAAAACTTGTCACTTCTTTCACAACGTCTGCCTCACGTACGAAGCTTCAGAAGTTCCTAAATCGACAAAACTAATGAATGGAAAAATAAATGAAGAAAGAACCTAAGCAAAATAGAAAATCGTAAAAATCAATCAAAATAAAAATAAAAAAAGTAAATATCAATCATATTTTGATATAAATTATTATTGTAGGTTTTATATAAATTATAACAATGCTCAGTTACCACCACCCCATTTTGATAGTGTTGGCAATCGAGTATCAATAACGAGTAAAACAGCAGGTCTCTGGAACCATTCAAGCATTGGCCTCATTGGTAGCTCGGTAGTTAAAGCATCCTTGAGGCCCGAATTCGATTTCCAGATAGTGACTAAATCTTTGAACAATTTGATAATAATAATAATAATAATAATAATAATAATAATAATAACGATAATAATAATTATTCAAATTATTATTATTATTATTATTATTATTATTATTATTATTATTATTATTATTATTATTATCATCACATACTTGGACATCAAATGAACGGGCTTTTTTTGCCAAGTACTGTGCTTTTAATTTGATTAATTTTCTTTTTCTGGAAAGATTTGGACAGTGCGGCAAATATTCGTGATAATAGTGTTGTGCATCACTTTTAAGTATCTTGGATGGATTTCAATTTCTTCTTCATTATTAGTATTATTATATTTAAAATAATAATTATTAACATTATTAATATTTGTATTATGACGCCAATAACTTTGCAACTATTCAAAAGAATGTTAGGGGGGGAAGGGGAGGGCAGTGTATTCTCTGAGAGCTTGTTTTGTTTACCAACTACCGCTCTGCGCGCCCCGTGAGCTAGAAAGCTCTAGGGCCGTACCTCTCGCCGTGTAGGCTGCGTGTGGGTCGCGTGGTGCTGCGATGGCCAAGAATAGTCAACCTTGTGCCCGCTACCTGGGCCAATGACCCGGGGGTGAATTTTCCCGACGGGTACTGTTAGGCCCCGGCGACACTCGCCCGAGCGAGCTCTCTGCAGATAGAGAGTGCAAGCAACAGGGTCTGCTCATAGCGTTCAATGCTGTGCTCGATTCACTGAACTATTTTAGTTTCGAAAACGTTGGAAGGATATTGAAAATATGTTTAGGGGATTCAGAGCACAAATGATACGAGTGCATTTTTGGCAAATTTTGAGTTAAGAGTGCGGGTGTGAAGTTACAATTTTCCATTTTATTTCGTGTACAAATTGCTCAAGCAGTTTCTGCATTCTTGCTGCAAAAAATAAAATGCCTTCAATCCTTTTCACTCAACTTTGAAATATATTCCACATTAAGTGCACTTTCATTCGTTGTTCTCCAAGTCCTTCATTTCCATTCTGATATCAGTTCGAGCAATTGTGCTAGGTAAATAAAGTGTGATGTTATTTCAGTGTTAATAAGAGTTTCTAAATTACAAAATCAGAATAAACATAGCTGACATTCACACTTATAAATGGCTGGTTTTACGGCCAATTGCGCAATACTAGAGTTGTATTCTAGTTTTCTAGTGTTTATTAAAATTTTCCATTAAACAAATAGATTTGATAAATGTGTATATGGTAAATGATTCAAGGTATAATATAGAAAACTGAATAATATATTACTAATTTTATATTCCTTTGTTTATGTTTTGTTGAAGTGCAGCATATTCAGAGATAAAATGAAAACAATTGTATCAGTTTTCAGAGAGATGGATTCCATGAATAAGTTACCAATAACTTAGAGATTTTATCGCCATTATCTTCTTCCTCAATGTTCTTTTCAATTTTAGATAGAATCTGAAATATTTCAGACCAAAGCATTATTTTATAATGAACACGTGTCGATAATTACTGCCTTAACTGCTTCATGTGCACAGAATTTTCCTGGAAAATTGCCTTTCCAAGGTTTGCATGAAAGACGTACACAGCATTCGAACCCTCAAAAAGTTAATAACATGCGCATCTTTAAAATACGATTAATTTTCTTTTATGTTTAAAGAAAAGGCAAAAATTGTACTTAGGAATAAGGAAATTCTTTCAAATAAATGTCTACTTCTCATGCCTATTAATGAGCAGGGAGATAACTCCCACTGTTAGAATTTTTGCATTTGTATCAGTGCATTTCTCAGTTGTTGTTATTATTATTATTATTATTATTATTATTATTATTATTATTATTATTATTGGTATTTCACTTTATTTACGATAGGTATTTTCAAATTGAGATTGAAAATAACATTGTTACCAGCTAAAAATGTTGTGACAATGACATTTTTGGTATCCCTTTTTTATTATTTGTAGCCTTACATCGTATATGCCAATGTATAGAAAGAATGAAAGTGAAACCGTCAGTTAGACACGTGTTGTTTGGGCTTTTTAGAAGTCCTTAAAAACCACCCAGCAAGACCGCTACTTTGAGACGAGCAATTCGTAAGGAGAACGCATCTGGTGTACTTGAAAATAGGGCGCCATGACAACATGCCCAGTGCTAGAAAGTCGCCCACAACAAATACCGTTTAATTGACCGAAGTGGCGGTATCCAGCAAAGGTGTGCGATGAAGGCCGCTGCTCTTAATACATGGCCCCTTTCACCACCCTTTCGGCCCAAGCAAAGAGAAAAGAAGGACCGCTGGCATTGGAGAAACAGACGAAAACTGTAGGAATGGTTGTCTGAGCTGGCCTTGGGACAGTCTTCCAGAATGGTGTGCCCATATGAGAGGTAGATCGAAAGGGCATGGCATTAAAACGACCATGTTGGAATGAACGAGATGAGATATACTCTGCTCGAACTCGTTCGGGTCGACCATTCAAGTGTGTGTATGTGTGTGTGCGTGCATATGTGTTACCTGACCGTTTTGTCGTAATCAGATAACGTAGAAAAAAATACTTCTGTATATGAAATATTTCTGTAAAATGCATGTATTTCTGCGTGCGCAGATGTGTGCAGTTCACAAACTGAGTCTGCCAATTGTATGAAAGTTCCTAAATGTGTGTTACTTAGATGCTAATAGTTATAGTCATCTGCATGGGTGATACTGATGTGCCTCTTGCGTGATACTGGTGTGCTTGATGCGTGCTACTTCGGTGCTAATTGTGCTAAGCTTGTATGTAAAATGTGTTTTCTTCGTGTTGTGTAAGTATCCTGCTTGGTATGTCTGATTGTGCAGTTAGTTGTGTCTGGTGTGCGGAGCTTGGTGTGTCTGGTGTGTGCAGTTCGGTGTGCCTGATGTGCGGAGCTTGGCGTGTCTGGTGTGTGCGGTTTGGTGTGTCTGGTGTGTGCAGTTCGGTGTGCCTGATGTGCGGAGCTTGGCGTGTCTAGTGTGTGCAGCGTGGTGTGTCTGGTGTGTGCAGTTCGGTGTGTCTGGTGTGTGCAGTTCGGTGTGTCTGGTGTGTGCAGCTCGGTGTGCCTGATGTGTAGAGCTTGGCGTGTCTGGTGTGTGCAGCGTGGTGTGTCTGGTGTGTGCAGTTCGGAGTGTCTGGTGTGTGCGGCTTGGTGTGTCTGTGTCTGGTGTGAGCACAAAGTGTCCTACTCGTGTGCGCGCCGGCCGTGTGCTGCTGCTGGTGCGAAGGACGCATAGTAGACGGAGGTTGGGGTGGTGTCGGCAGGGCGTGCAGTCGCAGGACCGCCACCTGTTCCTCTTCTCCGACCTGCTGCTGGTGGCCAAGCCGCGCTCGGGCGGCCACTTCAAGCTGAAGGAGCAGGTGCGCGCGTCCGAGCTGTGGCTGGCGCGCTCGGGCCTGGAGGAGGTGAGCGAGGCGGCGCTGCCGGGAGACACGGCCTTCGTGCTGGGCTGGCCCACCGGCAACGTCGTCGCCTCCTTTGCGTGAGTACCACACACACTCACACTTTTATTTTTCTTCTTCTTTTTCTTTCTTTTTTATTTTTTTAATTTTTTTTATTTTAATTTTTAAAATTTTTAATTTTTTTAATTTTTTATTTTTATTTCTTTTAATTCTTTTATTTTTATTTTATTTTTTTATTTTTTTTCCTTCTTTCCCTCCCGGTGCCGCGTGCAGTCGGGACTGAGGAGAACTATAAGAGACTATGTGGTAGACCGTTTCTTCTTATGTTTTTGTCAGTGTTGTTTTGCATTTAGGTGATCTCTTATTCGGTGCAGAAAGGTACGATTTCTCATTCTTCTTCCCGATCGAATGAATATCATCTATGTTACAATAGGCACAAGATATTCTGATAGCCAATGTCGTCTGCAGTTTTCTTATTTTTTCGTCGGTGAATTTTTTTTTTCAGTCAGGTGGTCTAATATTTTATACGTGGAATTGCAGAAATGTACGATTTATTCTTAGCCATCTGGTACCGAAGAAGATTAAAAATATCATATAAGTTACACTAAGCAGGAGACTTTTTTCTACTTTTTTTCAGCCGGAGTCAGTCTGCTGTCTCATACGTTGATCACGCAGAAGACGGTGCAATATTGTGACGTAGTGAAATAAGAAATAAATTTCAATAACAAAATAAAAATAATATATTCAAAGATTATGTACAAGTTACAATGAATTGTTAATATTAAAACACTCCGGCAACCTTTTCCTTTCAGAACACTGCTTTACCGCAGAAAACACAAGCCACGCGTGATGCGCGCCGTCGGACCTCTGTCCCGTGACAATTACCGTCACATGGCCTGACGCCAAAATTTAACCCGGTCGTGGCGACCGTGTGCCTACAGCACGCGAGATCGTCTGGCCCTTACTCTCCGGACATCTCGCCCCCACTCCTACACCCCTTGTACACACACGTACAAGCTTCCCGATGCAAACTGAATGAGAACGCGGGCGCAGATGGCGCCGCGTTAAATAGTTGAGGCTGACACCCCCACCACTGTTCCATAGATAGACTCGCACTGGCGCGAGGCTCGCAGGCCAGCCTTTGGTTTACGCCCACACACAATTCTCAGGTTGGCTGCCTGCTTCCGTAAACGAGGTTCGCCGGCAGCATCCTCGGAGTTTACAGCCTCCGGTATTTTTGGCTCTGCGGCACTACCTGAGTCAACCGCCCGAGCGCAAACTCCGGATGTTCAGGCTCAACCCCTTCCTCCCCCGCAGCGTACTTTCACCAACCTAACGGTTCTGGCTCTCGTGTTAACGACGCCACAATATTTCTCTTTTTATACTCTTGTCTCCTCGGTACTTTTTCAGCCGCGGCCAGACGAATGAGTTGTCCGATGTGCTCACAGAGACTATACCGTGGACCATTCCTCTTTTTATTCCTGTGTTTTTTCAGCCAGTTCTAGCCTGTCTAATGTAGTCTTCTTTTATTTCTTTTTTCATTGTTCTCAGTAGACGACAGTTGAGTCATGGGCGGACCCGAAAACTAGTTTGGGGAGGGCAAATTCAAAATGTTTTCTTAGAATATATCATATTACAGATTTTATAAAATGTCGCGGACTACACTGAGCTTATGCCGCGATAATATTGTATTCGTTTTAATAATAATCCGAAAGCTTGGTGAGACATTGAAATTAGTCGGTATTGAAACATTTTCCGGGAGGGGGAATTTTCCTCAATCCCCCCCGTGGATCCGCGCCTGGTTGGATGCGAGTGAAGAGCGTCGTATTGCAGAGTAGGCTTTGCAGCCTTCTTGAAATAGAACTTAGCGGAACCCTTGGCCTACGGAAGCCGCCACCATAGAGAAAGGAGTGTATCTTCCTTGCTCTAGGCCACAACCCAAACGAAAGGGGTTCGTCAAAAGGTTCAGACCCAGGACGAGATCGGTTCCGCCATCCGCCTGACCCAGGTGTTGGGGTCGCTACGCACTCAAACAACACAGCGCTCATGTTGGTCAACGCCCCCTTGCTTTCTTGATGTGGAAGTCCTCGTCTCGTACACCCGATTTACACGCGCTCCTGTGGCGAACTATTTCCGGGTTTTAGTGAACGCGCCCGTGCGTACTTCAGGGTCCTCTTTGCCCCCGTCAGCATGCGAGTTCGCCAAACTCCGAAATGGTTCGCCATAAGAAAGCGCGTAAATCGGAGCATATGCCGGTTGCTACATTTCTGGATTCATCATAAATTCGAGAAAACGTTATGATGCCTTGTATTCTACCGTTCTTGGTAAAAGGTCTGGAATCATTACGTAATTTTCGTGAAAGGGAAGTATGATGTGTAATGGCTGAAGAAATATGTCCGGAAATCGATTACTGATTGCGAAAAGAATTGAATGATACTTTAGTTACGTATTCCTTTGCAAATTTCGTTAATAGAAATATAATGAACTAACAAAGTATTTCTTGTGATCCGGGCTTGAAACAATGATCGTGACAAGTTATTGTTTGCTCAGCCGTTCTCAGCTCTTAGACTTCTTAATGTAGTTAAGTGCAGTTAAGTACGTGAACGTAGGGTGCAAGTCCAATAAATCATTTTATATATGTCGTGCCTCGTATGCACCGGTCATTTGAATACTCATATAACATTAATTATTCGGAATGCGGAATGAACCAGCCTTGAAGAAGGAATGAACGTCTAAATTTACTGTGCCGTAAATCCAAACGTTTATGCAACGCATATATTATTTCCGAGTGCAAGCACCCATATTTACGATCTGCTGAACGGTGCGTGTGTGCGCCAACGAAAGTGTCGCATAAATAAGTCAGGTATTGCCAATGAGCAATGAGTTCTTACGAGTTGACGTTTCAGAACACAAAATGGCGCCTCATGTGAATATATACAACTGTTGAAAATCGAGAAAAGAACATTCATGTCGTCCACGATTTTTAACGTCGTATCGTAAGGCTTATAAGTGATATCAGAAAAAACATTTTCATGCCTCATGTTATATACGTTATAGTTTTGATGATCTGAATATTATATTTTAATTACTAATATGAGTAAGAATTATAGTACTTTATGAAGACCGTAAACTCGCTATGTTCTGTAAACTCTCTCTTTTTCGCACCTTCTGAAAGGGACTAACGAAATACTAAATCATTCAGATCGTTCCTACAGCTTTGAGCCATATTTATTCTCGAATAATCAGTTGCAAAGCCGGATTTCCGATTGCGTGCGTGTGTGTGTGTGTGTGTGTGTGTGTGTGTGTGTGTGTGTGTGTGTGTCTACGCAAATCTCCCCGTCGAACACTTTGGTCTCCCCGTGTTATGTTTTACGCCCGCTGGAAAATAAGTGAAGGTGGATGTCAGATAACATACGGTATTGACGGTGCGTACAGATACTAGGGGCGTGACGCACTCTTTACTAGATAACAGGAGAGCTAATCTAGCTGTTATTTAACTCATCAACCTCCGGTGCAGAGCCGGCGATAAGCTGTCAAACAACGCTAATGCTTTTGTGAGGCGAGGATTACAAATACTCCCTACAGTGCCGTGCTATCAACGATTTCACAAAGTGTATTGTTGTAGGACGTTTTTGAGGTGCCAGTTATGAACCCCGTTAAATTCATTTAGAGCCAGTAATCAGGATGTTAATTGAACTATCAGTTGACTGAATTTATTTTACAACTGTGTACAACTACATCAGTTGAATAAGACAAATACATGTTATACATTATACACCCAAGATACATACAAACTATCAGTTATGAGAAAGAAATACTCTCTACAATAAGAATTACTACTCTCTTATTTCTCAATGAGTGATGGCAACGAATGTCCCTTTGCGCTATTTAAAACTAATTTCACGTCGAGAAATTATATAGGAGGAATGAGGATGAGAGAGAGGGAGCCAAAAAGAGGAGAGATTTTTAAAAAAAAAACTAAATTTTTCAACGTCGAGAAATTAATAATTAGGAAGGAATGAGGGGATGAGAGAGGAGGAGAGGGGGGAGGAGGATGAGGGGAAGGGAGGGAAGCGAGGAGGAGGATGAGGGGGAAGGGAGGGAGCGAGGGAGGAGGAATGAGGGGAAGGGAGGGAAGCGACGGAGAAAGGATGAAGGGGAAGGGAGGAATGGGTAGGAGGTGGCCTGTGCACGAGGTGCGGGGCGAGAGGGGCGGGGCGGGGGCGGGGCGGGGGGCGGGCGCCGGTAATGCGTCGCGTCCTCGCGCGCTAATGCGTGTCGGTGGAGGGAGGGGAGGGGGGGGCTGCCCCTACCATTACATGCGATGCCCTCCGCGTGCGCGCGCCTGGACAGCGGATGAGCGAGCAAACAGCGGCAGACTCTCCTCCTCCACCCCTCTTCCCCCCCAACCGCTCCGCCGAGCGCCGGCGTGAATGCCTGAGCGGCGCCGGCGCCGGCACTGCGCTTGCGGGCCCATGCCGGGGCACAGACCCTCTCTTTCTCGCAGCCTTCTTCTTTTCTTTTCTTTTTCTTCTTCTTCTTCTTCTTCTTCTTCTTCTTCTTCTATTATTATTATTATTATTATTATTATTATTATTTATTATTATTAGTTATTGCCCTCGGATGGCCCATAGACGATGTGCGAGCTTTCCGTGGCGCGATTTTCCGCCGAAAACCCCCTGGGGGGCCCAAAAAAAAATTGAAGCGTAGCTTTCCCTTTACAGTCCGTCTCAG